CTCAATACTTACTTCAATGTTTTCAGTCACATCCCAACTCTGCATATACAGTGAGCAACCACACTCCACACATATTGGCATTCGGCATGTAGTTCATATAAACACATGCTATATCCTGGAATTTCATTAATGTAAAGGTTTGTTCATTAATACATTTTTAACGTACGGAAACAATTCCTACAAAAAAAGGTCACTCTTTGTAGTTACTAGTTGTGACACCATAGTACAACAGCCATTTCAAATCATTACTACTTCTGGCAGCAAAACAAAGTCGGCTACAACTGCAAGTTCTAACAAATAACAATAATCATTCGAACAACTACCAATAAATAGAAAAGTATACATTTAAATGTTTAACATCATCATCTGGTAACAACCATACTACCATAAAAACTCGCTAACAGCATTAGATAATGGACAATCAGTACAGTGAGTACAGCTCACACACGCACTTTTCAATTGTATAATATATAAGATCACCATTCCCCCGTATGTTGCCATGGTAACTGTCCCAACGGAGCGTCAAGGATATGATCGGTTATAAATCGGTTATTAAGTGTTTCTAAGGTGTGTCCCTTACATTAGTTTACTGTTACACTCAGTGTGTAAATTGTAATATTTGTTTCCTCGACGATTTGCTTAATAACACGAAACCATTTGTGTAAAGATTACATTTGATCATACCAACTATTTAAGCTCCATTTATCCGTTGAACATGGATGTTAAAACGAAGAGGTCAGTCGATATATTACATCTGTGGAGTCTGAACACCTACCCAGTTACCATGGTGATAATTCCAGAGATATCACGTGATTTGCTAACCAAGTAATGCTATAATTGAATGCGTATAAAGTGCACTGATCTATCTCATTGCCTTGAAATGACGTGGCATACTTGTAATCTAGCGGCAGTAATGTTTTACTGATCAAGCTTGTCAGTAGAATTCTTTAACCATTCCCCGAATCCCCCGTATGTTGCCATGGTAACTGTCCCAACGGAGCGTCAAGGATATGATCGGTTAAAAATCGGTTATTAAGTGTTTCTAAGGTGTGTCCCATACATTAGTTTACTGTTACACTCAGTGTGTAATATTTGTTTCCTCGACGATTTTCTTAATAAAACGAGTAACGTTCTATTATATCTTATTAGCTACATTATGTTTCTGACAAACTTACCTTCAATGCAGAACGAAATTAACTAACAACCAACATTACATAATTTCTCAGTGTTTCTCAACACTGAAGCGCAAACAGTTTAAGAGTACTACCAAGTTTAAGAGTAATACCAATCATGATCAGTACCTATAATATTCAGTATTATTCTATCGATGTACTCATCTACAGAAGTACAGACTACACACATCTAGAAGACACCAACCAACACTCCTCATTGTCATTATCAATAACAATAACATATGAATAATATTAACCTGCGACAATGGACAAGTAAGAAACGGCATCGTTGCATAAACTTCGACTAAAATGAGTCCTACAAAATTGACTTATCTCCACTGAATCAGTTCCTCGTAATAAAGACTGAGCTAAAAGTAGAAACTGCTAAAACAACTCAGTAGTAAATATTGATTGTACACCGCCCAGACTCCCAATGCAGTTCTTCATATTCGACCAGCTGTGAGGATATTTATAATAACATACATTCGCATAATGTTCGCGTAAACTAAGTACGGCATATTTGATATTTTACCCCATTGATGATTACAATTTACATGAACAACCGGTAACCTTAATATAATATAAATTTTTGTAACATATACAGCAGCTTAAAACAGTTCTCCTTGTTAGACTAACAATATGAAACACACAATTCACAAAATTGTTTCATTGTTTATCACAAATTAACAGTAACACCACTAATCAGACAAATGACAAATCACCTAGCGGCTGTTTCGAATGTAATGTCTAATGTCAAACGACAATGAATTATGAAACGCGAACAAGATTCTGACATTGTGTAACCGACTTATCATTAGTGTCCCGTACATGATACATTTATTATTACCATAACGCGTCGTCCCTCTGCATAGTCCAATCACAACCGTTAACAGGTATCACGAGATAATATTTTATCCAACGCGAAAACAATCATGCGCAAATTACTGGCGATTTAATTACAAAATCGCGCGGCTTACATGTAAAATTATTTGCGCGCGGCTTCTCACTTTCCAAATTTAAATTTTATTGGCTCACATTTATATTCCGTTTTAAAATTTAAAAATTGTGATGGCAACGGCCCTCGGACAAATCTAGCGAGCGAAGCGAGCGCGCTCCAGAAAGGGGGGCGCTTTTTGAGTTGAGCGGGGGGGCGCCAAAAAGTAACGTTACGCCACTGGTCCCCACGTGTGCAACTTTTCGATTTTCAACTTTAAAACTAGCCTAATGCACAATTTATACCTATAAGAAGCAGAAATGAGCTCCACAACCCAAGGCATGGCCCAACACCAGAGAATACTAAATCGCAAAATTGACGTTTTTATAAAATAATTCTTCAAAAAAGCACAAACTTCAATAACGAATATCTTTATGAAGGAGCAAGCTAGAAAAACTTTCCGGTAGATTTTCAGAATGCTTGAACAATTATCTAAGGTAAAAATTTCCTCAGATTTTGAATAAAACTACATCTTAATGGTTTAAAATTAATTTTAAAAGTTATTACTTTGTCAAAAATCAAGTTTTAAAAACGGTTAACTTGATGACGTCATCAAGGGGTGTTTATGACGTCAAATAATTTTTTTATACAATGTAAACTAAAGTGTAAACAATTATTTGCAAGACCTGTGGTCGGAAATGGCTGTATCTTTTATAGGTACAAATCTACAGACACCTGAATGTAGCCTATAATTGACTGGCAAAGCGTCTATCCCTGAATATATGTATATGTATATGTATGTATGTATGTATCACGACAATCTGTCGTAAAACAGGGGTTCTAGAAAACCCATTTCCCGATGCTCCTGAAACTTGAAACTTTTTTTGCAATCGATTTGGTCAACGTCTAGACGTCCTAAAAAATTTCAGATCTCTAACTCAATTTTAACATGGTTTTTAAGGCACCTGAATATGGCGATTTTGGGTTTTTTACCGAATTTCGTATAACAGTGCTGGCGAGTATTTTATGCAAATTTCTTAAAAATCTCAACATAACTATTTTTATTCCTGTCATCTTTGACATCAAATTAGAATGTTTTGAACTAAAAATAAATCTGCCGAACGACTTCCGATGAGTCTTAATGCCTGAAAAACTCCTGCCGGAGGCCGGAGTGCACGCTTCGCGTGCCCGAAAGAGGCTTGTAACGTGTACCAAAGGGGGTATAATAGTAAAGGGGGTATAATAGTAAATGGGGTACATAGTATACCCACAATAAATGCAACGGTCGTGCTTGCCAGCACTGTGATTTGATGTTTAGTAGCTGTTTGTTTTTATCAAGTCTAGCGCGGAGTTACTCCGAACTTCCTCAAAACTCATCACTTTAGTCATAGTGATAAGTCTTCAAGTTTCAATACTTCCGCAGTGAAATATACATCTCAAGTCTGGCGAGGAGTTACTCATCACCTTGTAGTTGTCCTGAAGTTTCAATTCTTTCATGAAGCAGTGAAATACAAATATCAAAGCTGAAATGTTGTATACGATAAAGATCTAAAATCAATAAAATCAAGTCACAACCCAACGTCTATTGTAAATTCTTCATTATTAATTGCCACATTTAATTTTTGTTAACTAATGCCCAACGAGCATCCAAATAAAATAGTCCTATATAAATAGTCCTATACCAATTAATATACCAACTATACCTAATACAATATTTACTTACTTACTTGTACTTGATTAGGTCTCCTCAATCATTCGAGTGGCCTGCACCAATGAACTCCCGTATGTGACGTATCATCTCCCTCCAAAGTTTGCGGTCACTAGCCATCTCGCTCGCTCCTTCTAGGTCTATGTCAGTGTTTCCTGTAAACGCTGCAGCATCTTCCAGCAAACATTTCCTCCAGTTCTTTCTTGGACGGCCCCTAAATCTTCTCCCATTAAGCAGGTACTTAGGAAGCCTAGTGTCTGGCATTCTGGTGACATGGCCAAACCAACGCAGGCGGTTTGCTCCTATGTACGTCCCTACTGGATTTATCTTTGCACGCTCCAGCAGTGTTTCTAACCCGATCGAGCCATTTTATCCTAAGTATTCTCCTCAAGCAACGCTGATGGAACACCTCAAAGCGATGTATAGCTGCTTTTTGGTTGTGTTCCAAACCTCACTACCATATAACAATATTGTCATAACCGCTGCCTTATAAATCCTGATCTTTGTATAAGACTGGATGTTGCGGTTTTTCCATATAATACTCAGTTTATTGAAGGCTCCGGAAGCTTTCTGAATCCTAGCTGACAGCTCACGGTCGATAGTACCGTCGCTGGAAATAATTGTACCTAAGTACGTAAAGTCACTAACTTGCTGCACTGGCGTGTCTTCAACAGTGATGTTCACTGTGGCTTCTTTCGTGTATGGCCGTTGAGAGGTTGCTTTACCAATGACCATAGCCTCAGTCTTTTTACCATTGATTCTAAGACCTCCCTGGGCACCATACATACACAAAAGGTCAGTTGTTTCTTGAAGACCTTCCTCGCTGTTATCCAGTACAGCCATGTCATCTGCATAATCTGTATCTAACACAGTGATATCATCAACAAGCGGACTGATAGATCTTTGAAGAACCGCTCCGTGGGACACCACTTTGTTGCTTTCTGTTCTCTCAGCAGCCACATTGAGGCAGACATTAAAAAGTGGGGGACCCTGAATGTCTCCTTGGCCACTGCCTGAACTTACTTCAAACCATTCTGATAGTTCACCATTGTGTCTAACAGCACTAACAGTTCCATTAAAGAATACCTGTATTATTCGAATGTATTTACTTGGCAGGCCATAATGACTGAAAGCTTTCCAAATATACAATATTTAACAACTAATATTTACGTTTTATTACTATTACAGGATGTTCTGGTGATAACATTGGGATTGTGGATTCTACACCTTGTGTCTGTGATTTATACATACCAACTATAATTCAACAACTATTGTATTTGGTTTGATCGTGATATAAACCAAATAGCGACGAAGTTGATTGAGCCCATTATGGTTGACTCAGGAGTGGAAAACTGGCTGGAGGGGTATTTATTTAATCAGATGAAACAAGAACCCGGAGAAGGACTTAGTTTATTCATGTCCAGAATCCAGGCAGAAGCAAACTTGTGTGATTTTGGTACTATTTATGATCAAATGGTCAAGGATTGTTTTCTTTGCGGACTAAAGGATCCAAAGATTCAATCACATTTGTTAAGTCTAACTGGCATGGACACAGCAGCTAAGGTTTTGGCATCTGCTATGGAAAAGGAAAATGCTCAATCAGTAAACACAGACATGTCGGGAGAATCTGCACACTTAGTTAGCAAAAATAATTCCAGCGGAAGTCCAGAGAAATCGAAATTTTTGCAGGAACAAAACAAAAAATCCAACGGCAACAGGGAAAATATTGACAATTATGAGGAGACGGAGACATCAGCCGTTGATTCGGAACACAATTGCACGTTGAATGTGGATGTTGTACCCAAAAGTGACGAGGATCTGATGGAATATTTTCGTGCTCGCCCCAATCTGTCCTATTTTAACAACTCATCGAAGTTAGATTCTGTTTGTGTAAGCCGTCCTGCCAAAATTTCTCACAATCACCGGGAGAGCTCTGTTACTGCTGTTTCTGTTAAAATCTCTCGCAAGGAAAGTTATTTATGGTAAATTGTGGTGAATTGAGGACTTTACAGTGGAACAACCATTTTTACTTCACTGATAACAAACCATTGTGAATGATACCAATTATTAACGTACTAAAAACGACATTTGACATGACAGTGACACAACAGCGTCCAATGGTTGGATGTATGGGCAATGGGTTTCATATTTGTAGATGTTTCAAAAAATATATAAAATCTAGAATTTGATCCACTGTTAGCTTGTTAGAAAAGCATGCACCCACCGGCCACCACTATAAAGTATAACTAACCATTTTCGTTTTTTATATAGATCTTACTGCTTATCCATTCCTCCAGATCAACGTTTCAAACATTTGGACATAAAATCCTTCGATGTTTATTATTTAACCACCAACTCATACGCAATAGAAATACATTCATTTTACCTATTAATACAAGGCAAATCCAATGTTGTTACAATGAACAGTAGCTCCTCATCAAACTACGTGTCTCCTTCTACCTGCTCATTATTCTACCGCGGTATTATTTGAGGATCTTCTCTTTTAAAGTTGAACCTTCTTTGAGAATCGTCTTGTGTCGGCCTTCCTAAATGTCACTCTACTTAATAAAACGACGATATTTCTAATTTGTTGAAGACCCTTAAAATACTAATTAGGATCATCACATACAGCATACTAAGCATACTAAGCCCCTTTAAGTTTGATATTTATTTTATTTACTTCGCTTCACGCTTGTTGATCCATAGTTGCTGAGTTGATATGCCTTTTGTTAAACTTCACACGAGGGCTGCACCTAAACCTAAGGTCGTTAAAAAAAGCTCTAGAGTTGTAAAATCGAGGCCGAGGGTCAATCAATCGTCAGGCTATGGACGGTAAATATTACAGTATAACTACGGACCACCTAAATTTCGGGCTTTTAGTTTTATTATTGGCAATAATAAAATTAAATTGGCAAAATAGAAGATTTGTTACTATACATTCGACAATCGACATAAATACATTCGACGTGATAGGGATCAGTGTTTACTTATTTAGAGTTTTCATATTTCCTTGTGTTTTACAAAACATTTCCTTGTATTTCGCATTACATCAATCTCTTACCTTTCAGCCCGACCGAATTCTTGACACAGTTGACCAAGAAAGAAGACCAGGAACTAGCTCTTCAGGAGGTTCTGCATTACCTCACCCAGGGTCTAGCTTATCTTCTGCTTATCCTGATTATCTGCAGCTTTGGGTTCGTCACCGGGTTAGAGGTGAGTTTTCAAACAAAACTATGTGCTTTCAAACAGATTTAGATACTGGGAACTTTCCGGATTTTTTAAAGATTTTTACAAGGTTATTTAATATCATTAGATTTACAATTCAGTGACCGAGGTTTTAACCAAATGACTTTTTGAGCTCACCCCTCTAAATTCCTCTCCCACAGTACCTATCGTATCCTCTCCTGATGAGAAAGTTGACCTGTACAGAAGAATGGGGAACCATATACCAAAGTGTTTTACCGTCAGCCAATTTACTGGCAAACATGATCGGATCTATCGTTGGTGGCATTGCTATTGATAAGATTGGAAGGAGACCAGTATTTATTGTTTCTGCGCTACTTGCCATTGTCGCAGGTTGGTTTGAATTTGTTTGTCGTTGTATAAACTTTAAAGTAAATTCAGCTGTTGTTGCAATATGCTGTGAGTTTGTATAAGCCACACAAATGTGGACACTATGTTCCCGGCCGTAGAATATATGAAAACTTTCCAATTAGATTTTTATTGAAAAACAACTTCCATTTATGCAGAGTTGGTGAGCATGATCTCGATGGATACGACCCTGTTCAGAGTGGCACGCGGTCTCTCCTCCCTGATAATGGGTGTCCTGTACATCACCACCCTGCTCTACACGATAGAGACATGTCCAGCTGAACACAGACTCTACCCCTATTTCTTCCACTGTCTTGCTCAAAACGCTGCCACCACCATTGTCCCCCTCATCATAAGTAATTCTCCGGTTGATGGGACTACTAACATTTGGCCTGCTGTCTCCAACAGTGTGGTGGTTCTGTTGGCTCTGGGAGTCATCGTGGGGATCCTCTACCCAGAGCCCTCCCAGAGCAACAAGATCCGAGCCAACACCGGTTCAAAGTTCCAAAACAGGTTCAGTGTCATAAAACTGGAGAATGATGACGAGATTCACGCGGAGCCTGAATTCGCAATGTACACTGACATGTTTTATAAGGGCGGCAAGGTTGTGGGGTGTCTTCTCATACTCCTATTTTTTATCGGAGGTTTAACTTCCACATCATTGTATCTCTCATTTCCCATCATCTATAACTCAAACGGGGTGTGCACTGCGAATGAACAATATCCAAAGCCGTGCATGGAGGAGACTGCGAGTTATGCGACTCACGTGACGAGTATCGACGAGCTGGTAACAGTATTTGGGTGTTCCATCTTAGGATCAGTGCTAGCGTACATAGCAGTACAGAGATACGGGAGGAAGAACAGTTACCGGGCCCCCGCAGCTTTTAGAGTGGTCGTTATTGTCAGTATGGTGTTATGTGGCAGTCACCGTCTCATGCTATCCCAGGTTGGTCTCCTCGTCCTGTTCACCAACACCATGGACTTCACGCTAGATCTGTACTGCTTAGAGCTGTTTGCTGCTAGAAGCAGAGCCACTTCCTTTGGGTTACTCAGGGGACTCAAGTTCTTTGGAACTGCCATTGCGTTCTTCATCAATCCTTTTGTTTTATCTTATGTGCCTCCAGACCTTTTGTGGTCAATATATACTGTGGTAGGAGCTATTTTATTCGGGTGCTCGTTAGGCCTTAGGCAACAAACTTATGTTATGGCAAGTAATATTGAAGAATCTACAATAGACGTTGGATTGTGAGTTGGTTTTGTATTTTATCGTATAAAACATTTCAGCATTAGATATTTGTATTTCACTGTGGAAGTATTGAAACTTTAGGACAAAGTGATGAGTTTTGAGAACTTTCGGAGTAACTCCGCGCCAGGCTAAATAAAAACAAACAGCTACTAAACATCAAATAATTACATGGTATGAATTCTGAAGACAATGATACAAGCTGGAAACATCTGATATCATGAGTTTTAAGTTATGGCGTAAAGACACAAAATACACTTACAAGGTTGAAAAACTCCACCTTCAAAATTACTAAAGAGAAACTGCCGAAAGGTTTGCCTCGTAACCCTGAGAATTATTAACACTTTAACAGTACACAACTTATCACAAATAACATATAGATAAGAGTCGTAGCGTGCTGACCAGCAACACACTGCTCCATTATGATAATATCTTGTCCAACTATGATACAGTCACGAAAAACGGACCTCTAAATTTCAAGCCTTTAGCGTAATATTAATTCTATTGCAATATCATTATCAAGCTATTAGCGGCCAGCTTTTTGCGGCCGCACTATAGCAGTTCCAAACGTTCTTGTCTTTTAGCTGTCATATGACCCAATAAAAGCACACAATCTCAACAGGACTGCCCCTCATTTCCCTCTCTTCCTCAATGAAGCAGTTGTTTCTCATCACGTGACTGATACTCTGTTATCTTTAGCCCACTTCTTCATTATTCTGATAATGTATTCGACTTGTGCGTTCCCTGTGTTTCGTAGGATCGCTAGGATTTCCCGCAGAGTCTCTCTGAAAAGGATGATGTTGAAGTTTTGAATTCAAATTATTTCTAACATTTGAATTTTCAACAAAGATTTAAAATTTAATGATATTTAGTTGACAGCTTTTTTCCATCAGCTGATTTTGTCGACTTTATAAAACAACGTGATGATTAGTAGTCAGGAATTTTTTGTTCAAAAAAGATTTTTCTACAGTTCGGAAGGCAGGTGTAAATTTCCCGTTTGTCATATCATGCAGTGTTCCTGATATTGCCATGGCAAAGTATCCTCTGCAAAATCACGCACCGCATCTCAGAATTTTAGCACTATATAAAATTGCGTCAAACGAACATTTACATTTACGTTGATATGACGTGTTTTAAGTGAACTCACCTAGGCTCATGACCGGCTATTATCTGCTGGAATAGCCCAATACAAGCTCCTCTCTTTCCCTCCCAGTATTCAGGGTTAGGGTCCAATCTCTCTAACACGTCAAACGCTTTAGCTGAGTAGTAAAACTGTCCCATCTGAAATTAATTTGCTGGTGAGGGAGCAGTAGGACAGTGTTATATTTTTCAAGCTTAATGTTAAGGCAAATATTAAGTGTTAAGGCATATATTAACTAGCAAGAGGCCACGGTTGAAAAAATGTTGGAAGGGTTGCCACCCTACGATGATGGATCATAAAAATGCCAATTAGTTAATTAGTGATTTGATTAGTAACCGATTAGTCAATTAGTGACTTGAACGTACCTTATAACAATCATTAGCAATGAGCTGGAGCAAACTGAAACTCTCACTGCTGGTCTCCTGTTTGAGGTACAGTTCCCAGGCGAGTCTGGGTTTCCTGTTCATTATGTAGCACCTGGCTAACCAGCCCAGGTAAATGTAATCTGCTTTCACCTTCTCAGACTGGATCATGAGGAATATCTGTGGAGGAAGAGAGGTTAGGAGTGGGGAGATGTTTAAAGTATACCGCTCACGAGCTCAAGAAGATATGAGATATGAATCCAAACAATAGAGATTTAAAGACACATTATTTGTAATATCAGAGAATAAATAATCTTGAAGTTACCTCCTCGGCCTCCTTGTAGCTACCGGTAGCTGCCTTGGCCTGGCCAAAGTTATAGTTAAACTGATCCTCATTGTAGAAGTAGCTCTTTATAGAGTTGAGGTAGATTAACACGTCGTCGAATTGTTTGAGAAGGAAGAAACAGCTAGCCATACATTGTCTGCCGGGGATGGTGTCACATTCACTCGCACTTCCGCCTACTAACTGGGGTGTGGTTTTGTGGCTGATTAATCCTTGGCAAAAGTTAAGTGCTTTACCCCTCCTCATAAGTGAGCCAGGATAGCTTGTTTTCATTTTTAGATGTCACAAATGTTTGATCTTTGGGACCAAATGCAGCTCAAGTCTAGACTTAAATTTTAGTATCAATAAATTTTCATGGTTCCTGTCTGATCTACTCACCTGGAAATACTGTTGAGCGATCTTGATGTGATCGTTGAGACCTTGTTCTTGTCCCAGAGCAGCATTCACAACTCCCTTCAGTATGTATTCCTGATAAATGGTCGAGATCTTAGTGGGGAAGCTATGATCCGCTCATTATTGCTTGGTATCATGAGATGTACCATGAGTCGTACACTTTCTGTATTAATAACACCGATTATACTTGAAAGGTCACCTGAGGAGTGGTGGGAGAAACGTCCTTGAAATGATTGTAAGCCTCCTGAATATCATCCTGTCTCAGATAGTAAATAACGAGGTTCAGCCTAGCTTCAGGTATGACGTCTATCAGGGGTGGTAGGACTTGCAGTGCTGACTCCCCAGCTCTAAACACTACCTGGGATAAGACAAGGGTAGGTAAGCAGTTTTATAATAGTTATACGTGTAATAAAATGTGGAGTGGGAAAGGAATATTTAACTGAATAGTCTGATGACTGATACATTCAATGTATCTCATTTTACCCCATCAAACCGCTGCAGAGCCTTCGTATCCAGTAAGTTTAGCTTATATTACATCATCATCCCAACAGATTGAGAATCATTTTTATTGCCAACTTTGTTAGGAAGATACAATTGTTGAAAATTAGCTGAGTTAAAACTTACGAGGTTGTGTTTGATAAGGTCAGAAGCGAATTTGAAGCTGGGTGAACACACATCTGCTAAATTCTTCAGTTCAGCCTCCGCTGCTTTACCATTGTATAATCGGAAATGATTGCATGCTTTTAGGTTTATGGCCACTGTTGAGTCGGGAAAATGTTGAAGATACACAGCAAGAACTTCCTGAGTGATGGTTGTTTTATTTTAGATTAACGGTCAGCTAAATACTTAAAATGAAATCGACGGATGAAAAAACCAACAAAGGTTTCACATTTTTGAATAAAAGTCACGATTTAAGGAATGTTTATTGTACCTGGGAGACATCATAATAGTCTAGTTTGTAGTAACATAGTGCTACGTACACGTTTAATGCCAGGAACTCCCTGTAAGAGAACGTAAGTAAGTTTTAATCACGGCTACATAACAATTCTTTTAGAAAAATAATCATTCCTTATTTGCTTCAAATTTTGGAACGTTAATTCTTATTGATAGTCTAAAATAAGGCTGATAAAGTGCTCATAAGGACAGGTAATATGGAAAATCATTAAGTTTGAGATATCCGGCAACATAGATATTGCCTTATAAAGGTTCTAATGTGATGACTTTTATTTTGGCCCCTAAAGAATGTGATGCTGACAATAAAATCAGAAATGCTCAAAATATTTTTTAAAGTTAGTGCTTCAAAGTCAATGTCACGCGGGCCACCACACTCACTTTTTGCTACCCCCATTTGAGCTACAAAGATGACAAAAGTGAAATATAACTTCAAATTTGTCTTTAAACTGAGAACAATATATCACTGTTTCCAGAAAATTTTACGATTCTATGCTTGAAGTTCAATCAGTTGGAAAACAGCGGTCGATCCAAGTATTATATGTGACATTTACACTGAGTAACCATGGAAACTGTTACACTCTTAGCGCACAGCGTCAGAACGCTATTTACAAAACGCATCGCGCGCTACGCAAAACAATATTTTAAAGCGTTCCAATTTGCCAATTTATTTCTATTTACCATCAATGGTTTTAATTGAGGTTTCTTACCTGTTTTCCAGTAACACTCGTTTATATATGTCGATAGCTTCTTGGTAGTGACTTCTCAGATAATGTATTGACGCCAAACTCAACTGAAATGAATTGAAATTGAGATAGCTTGTTTTGAAATTGTCTGAAATTCAACAACAAAAGAATTTTAGAATATAGAACACGATCACGAACTTCTAATTATTGACTTCCGTTATCTAACCTGGTCTTCAACAATATCTTGAAGGTTCTTGTGGAAGCTCATCAGCTTCTTTTCGTCGTTAAACTTGTGCGATAAGTGAAACATCAGCCTGTTCTGTAACTTACTTTTATTACCTGAAAAAAGAGCGGCTTTTAAACTGTGTCACAGCTAACAAAATTGATACCTGAAACTGGATCTAAACTGTATAAGAGTTTAACCCATAACTTAATCCGTAACTTTAATAGTCCTGGCGCCTGGTGGCATCTCCTTTGAGATTAAAGCGCCAAAGATTAAATATAATATTTCCTGTCAATACAAACAGCGTGATAACAAAAGAGTATTAATAACATATTTTTATGATTTTATTTTTTAAATTTTATTTTTACTCTTGAGAAACAGAAGACATATGCTTTTAAGATTTTAAGAACTCTTAAAATCTTAAAATCTTAAAATTTGAAAATCTGAAAATCTTAAAATCTGAAAATCTGAAAATCTTAAAATCTTAAAATCTTAAAATCTTAAAATCTAAAGCCAAAATCAAAAGCCAAAATCAAAACGGACAGAAAACATACAAGAAAATAATAAACAACCAGTTTGAACCGAAGATTACCCCATCCGAAGTAGCAAACATCTCGTTTACATACCTTTTGCACAAGCCTCCTCGGACTCCTTGTACATTCCCAGAAAAAACATAACACATCCTAGGTAGTTCCAGTTTTCAGGAGGGGCTCCTTTCATCTCCGTTATTTCTGTGTACTCCTGGACAAGAATTGTGGTTTATTAAGTATTATCTTTAGTCATAATTAAGTAAAACAGCGGAGGTTCAGATAGGTTAACTTAAATATAGGTCCCTTAGGTGTATATCTAACATCACTCAAACCTTGAGGCATCTCTTGTAATCTCCCAGATGAAAATAACAGTAAGAAATCCACATCGCAGTTTGAATATCATTCTTCTTGTTAGCTCTCTCGAATTCCAGCAGAGTGACTGCTCCAGTGTAGTCTCTTGCTGCAACAAAATCTTCTAGTTTTGGGAGTTTCTTCTTTTTCTTCTCCTTTTCCTCGACCGTCGCCGGACCAGTAGCAGGCTTAGCTCTGGATAACAGCTGAAACAAATCAATAAGTATTAATTGCTTTAGATATATGCTTGTTAGTGATACTTTGGCACGAGGCCCTGGTGCGGATTGATGGTCATCCTAAACTATTTGATTGGATAAATATAGCTACAATCAGCATTGTACTTCCTCGAAAACTTACCATCTTTATCAATCAAGAACTGTCGGTGTACTTATCTCGATTGCTATCCTATAGATTGTGGTAAGATTAGTGTACATTTTCAGAAAATGAAAGTTTTGAAATAAGCATATTCATCAGAACGATGATAAATCACTCTACACTTGAACTGGTCACTGGACTATCACGTGACTAAGCTAAACATGTTCTCAAGATGGCTCTGACGGATAATTCTAACCCTAACCCTCTCCTCTGACCCTAACTTTAACCCTAACCTAATCCCTGACTCAAGAATTTGCTAAAACCCTAACCCTTAAACGAGAAATCTATATATAGCCACATCACGTGATCAAAACAGTTTTTCGATTACTCGTCAGGGAAGCGTTTTAAACTTATGCCATGAAGATTGAAGGGTGATTCGGAATCAGCGTTTAAAAGTACATCGTTGGTTTCAATTGACGGGGGCCAGTTCCAGTGTAGAGTGATTTAGCACGCTCGTGAAAACAGACAATTAATTTTCCTCAATAGTACAGAGCAGTTCAGCTAGTTAGAATTAAAATACTCTCTATTGTGTTAAAACAATGAAATCTGACAAATTATATATTTGAAATGAGAATCCCCAAAAAGTTTCGAATCGTCACTGTGCCCAAATGTTAATGCAAAATATTGAAATAGCATAATTATCACTCATAAAAGCTTGATTGCCACTCTTTACGTTGTAATTATGGGCCGAATAATCCTCTCATTTAAATCAAAAGAGCAACATTTTTAGTAAAACAGATTCTAGAAGACACTTCTTCTCTGCTTTCCACTAAGATCAAGTCTGGTAAGAAAGAGTCAAGTCTCCAACTCTATGTGTTATAACCTCATCCTCAGACTCGCTGGAAGATTCACTGTCCTCATCAGACCCATCAGATCCGTCCTCATCAGAATCATCACTACTATCACTGTCACTTTCAAACTTATTGGGAGGATTAAGTTTCTGTTCCTCTAGCTGCTCAATCCTCTCACAGACCACTCCGTACATCTCTTTACACACCTTATGATCCGGCTCTACTCTCAGCACCAACTGACACAAGTCCCGCGCCTTCTCGTATTGTTTGGTCATGAGACATGCCACTAGTTCGCCCTGCACTTCTATACTCGCTCTGCCATTTTCTAACACCACAAACTCCTCTCGTGGTATGTCTGTGTTGAATTTTCCGATGTCATTCTCGTCAATGTCTGATAGAAATTTGGTGGGGGAGGAGTAGGCTAGAGGCTCTTCTTCTGAAGGTAGTACTTCGAGTAGTGAGGGCTTTTTCGGATTGACCTTTTGATGGGCATGCTGTGGTTGGGACAATTGGTTATTGAAGTATCTAATGATGATAGGTTTATAATGTGAGTATTAATTGTTCAAGTATCAGTGGACATTGGTATTTAAATCATCATGGAAATAAAGTTAAAGTCAATAATTCAATAAACACACTTATCCATAATTATCAAAATCAACATCAATTGTACTTGTAGTAGTAGAATAAAATAATATATATTGTGTAATGTGTTGTCATAATAAAATATAAAGTGCAACTATCAAACTGCGTAGAACTAACTTATAATTATTTGTGTATAACTTTAAACAGTTAATGAATTAGCTCATAGCTAAATAATTTTAAAACCTTTAAAGAAAATCATCAACTAATATTCCATGATAAGTATGTTTGATAACAATCGACATGAGAATCAGACACAATTACAGATATAACAATAATATCATAATAACATTCCTCAATTCACGATGTAACAATTTTGAAATTAAAATATATAATAAGTAATTATTATAAACTATAAAGCTAAACATACAAGTTAAAAATCAAACAACTAATTGTAAAATATCAAATAATAGTAGCCAAACCACGTTTCTTTGACAATAATTTAAAAACTATGAATAAATAAAGAGTATTCACTATTCATGCAATTTTTGTACGAATTCAAAATGTCAAAAATCATAGATAAATGTAGTTTGTAATAAATAAAAGTAGTTTGCTATATTAATAAAAAAGCAATATTTTATATTCCATTGCAAGGCTCCATATTCTCACTAACAAGATAATCTTCGATAAACTTCACAATATGTTCCTCTGTGAGCTCCTCGCCAACAACCCTCAGAAATGCAGCTTTCTTATGATCACTCAGCTGAAATATCAGAACTCTTGGGTACTTAAACATCCAGCTATCCTCTGAGAACAAGGTCTCTGATGTGGGAGACATCCCATGAACCCATGTTGAGTATCTGTCAACATCAACAAAACTGGTGGCTACATTTTTGTAATACCTTATGCTCACCTGCTGTAGTGTCTCCATGAACTTAGACTTGGAGATGATGTGATCATGTTCAACTAGAGCCACCAGGATGGGTAAGTTTCCAAATAATGGCTGATAGCTGGCCGGAGAATGGAACACTATAGGGGAGAGCTCAGTAAGAGGTATGCGACTGTGTTCCATGATAAATGCTTGCAGTAGTTGGACACAGTCTGCAGGGTTGTCAGAACAGTCAGGGTTGTTGTAATGATGTTGACCGTGGTATTGGTGCAGGAGTTGGGTTCTGGTGAATGTTGTGTCTAGTGGCACACTGTCTTCATAGATCATGGCAGTTACACCATCTCTTCGTTTCAACTCAACTGAATTTACGTAAATGGCCTCGTTTTCATTTTCTTGTAGAATAAAACACTCAGAAAATGGAAGCTCCTTGCACATTGCTACCATACAGTCAATCAGCAGACCATCAGAACTTGTTTTGGAAGTGTTTATTGTGATATGGACATTGCATCCTTCATGAAAATCATGAGGTTGTCCAAAGTGAACACCCATGTCATTAACATCCTCATACCACCCAATCAAGCTTGATGCCTGATAAGCTCCATGATATATCACAACAGACAACTCATTCTTACTTTTTGGGCAAGCTGGAACATTAGGCTGATAAGGTATCTTGTAGGCAAGGAATGTAGGAAATCCAGTAACCTTTTGTTTAGAGCACACAACATGTTGTTTGTCACAGTTTACATGGTAAAATTTAGAGCGACTTGTCCTCATCTTCTCTCTTAATTGCTTCAACTCAGGTAGAGCATTTCTACAGCTACCACAATCATCAGGATGCAATGTGTAGATGACAAACACCTGAAAAAATGTATTGTCACATGATGCAGTTTTGGATCGTCAATAATCACATTATACAAGTTTCGAATTACAAACACTTTTATCCAATGCCAAAGGTTCTTATCAAATATCTTGTGTCATAAAACTAGTAGCACATATAAATGACTGAAATACTACAATTAAACAATTAACTTACAATCTCAGAGGCTGATAGGCTGTTGCTTTCACCATTAAGGACTCTCAATACTTCTGTGGGTGCCTCTGCAATACCAGTATCTCCAAGATAAGCTATTTTCATCGGTTTATGAGGTAATATTTCTTTTTTCCAATAATCATAACTGTACAATAGCTCATCTCTAGCCAGATTTACAGAGCAATCATTGTCAAAGCATTGGGCTATATTTTTATTGTCATTTTCAGGCTGAGTTTCATCAGCAATTCCAACTTGTTGTTTAAACTTCCATAAGTTAGGATGAGGAGCAGTCATGACAACAGATGATGTCATATTGTGAGTTTTTATTTCAATCCAGGGAATAGGTCTAGGGTTAGCAACTAAGACAGACGGATCCTTCATAACATCAACAAAATAACATTTGAATCGATGTTCAGTCCCAAGAACTCCACATAAGTTTGCAACAGCTTTTACATAGCTATGACTTTGAAAAAGTGTTCCATAAACACGGAGATACCCATTTTCAGAGTCAAATGTATCCAGATCTGAAACAAAGTTTGCTTGCAGTAATGAAACTGCATTTTGCAAGGTTTCTTTTAATATTTCTCCAATTCCCTGTAATACAAAATTGTTGTACTCAAGAGAAACTAAGCACCTTGGTAACTTGCTGTATACTGGATCTGACCCTAAAGATGACCTGTACTCAATTTCACCAAAGGACATCAGGGATGATCTGAGAGCTGAGTCATGTTGCAAGAGTCCATTACATTCTATTGACACAGGCTGAAAACTTGATTTATACTGGACAAGATCTGCAGAGGATAGAGCCAGGAGGAAGCAAAGGTATGCAGCTAATCTCCATAATGTCATACCTGAGGCAACTGAATAGTGAATATATAAATAACAAGTCTCCATAAGCAATGGTTGAGACGCAACCGCGCCTCAAAATGGAGGCGCAGAGACATGTCCATGCCAAGGTCGTAGAGACATGAGACCTTGACTAACGTTAACTTTTTCATCACATTTATATTACACTCCATTGCTTTCAGGGCCCTATCTAGACATTTAAAGGTCAAAAACGACAATTCTACCTGTATAAGGGCCTATAAAAATAAGGGCGTGGCCCGTGGGAACCGAATCCGATGGAGATGAGCCACGAAATTTTTCAAAGCAGTTTATTAGCCAATGCATCTACTAATAAGCTTTGGTAGGGAGCGATTGGAGCAACTTTGGGTTTTTTGAACCGACCTAGTGTATACTGCTTTTGTTGTTTGATTGTTGCTGTAGCTGTAGCTTCTTTGTCACCTCGAAGTGCATCGTTTTCATGCCTCCATGAGTACTTCTATAACAATTGTAAGATTCATCACATCATTACTTTGGGGTGACTGCAGCTACCAACCAACAACTAACTACAACTAACTGCTCGCGTGTCTTTTTCTCCCAACTATTCTTTGTAACTAAACTCATTCACTGAATTTTAATTGATCAAATTTTTTAATTTTTAATACACTGAGTCTCAGTGTATACGGTGTTCATGAGGCCCCAATTTAAGGGGTCCAAGTAATTGCAGTTTACCGTGTAGGAGAGTAGGAGATCAGACAAAGCACCAGCATGGAACCTTGCAACCTGTTAAACCAGAACATTTATCATAGATTTAGTGTATTTAGTGTGGTGGTAGAATTCAGCTGTCTCCGCTCTCTGTAAAACAGACTTTTGTTTTACAGAGGTAACCACACTGTATACAGTGTGGAAATCTCAGCGGAGGCCCTCATTTTGTTCCCCGTAATAATCTATCAATATCATGATCGGCCACTCATGACAGCGAAAGTTTGTTTGATTTATATTTCAGATTCGATCTGACAAATGTGCGATATCGTTATATATTAAGAACTTTCTAATGACTAATTTCTAATTATAAAGTTACATAAAAAGTATCGGCTAAAGTTGTTTACAATGATTATTAGAGAATTACAACGGATAAATAAAACCGACGTTATCGCGTGAGGTCTACTTTGTGGTATTCAGTTGACCAAACAACAGTGGAACAAATCCAATTATCTTCGCCCTTTAGCTTTGTTTGCTCAATTGTTCGCATATTCCTTTAATTTTACACACTCCGTTTCGAATAGTTTCTCAGTTCATCTTCTGCCCTGGACCCCGAAATTGATTTTATTTCGGCTTGTTGTATTTTTAGATAGATTTGATTCAAATGAGATACTTCTTAATTCTTTAAAATTCACTCAAGCTCATACAGGAATCTGTTTTAATGTTGAGACCATCTAGATTCTCCTCGTCACAACTGCTAGTCTGTGTGTTCTTGGCTATGGTATCTCTGCTCATGCTCGTTACTAACTTTGCTATGAAACGTGGAATTACAGAAGGAACTACGCTCACAAGCCATATACAAATTGTAAAAAGGGTGAATAATTCTCTTGGAGCAACAAAAAAAGCAAGCCCTTTAAACGAAGGTGCCAAAACCCATAAAGGTGATTATGTGCTCCATAATCAAAGACTAAGATTATGGTATGGAGGTAGGTGTATCGATTCTAAAGACGGAAAACAGCTGAGTGTACAGTTCTGTGATCCAAATATAGAGCAGGCTTTCAGTTTAACGACAGATAACCGTCTGATCTACGAGAAGACTGGAGGATGTGTGAGCTACGAAACAAAAGAAACAGCTGTATTTTTGAATCTTGTTGATTGCTCGCATGTCACAGGATCGTTCTTTACACAGGACGAAAATGGACAGTTTTACCTACAGCACGTTGTGGAAAATAAAGAGCTGTGTATCACACCAATATCCAAGATAAATTCCAATGTAACAAAAATTCCTTGTCTGTATGATCCTATTGGACTGACCGTTTGTGATAAGGAAGCCTCAAGAATATTGCCGATGGAGGAACAATTTTTCCAAAACGACAGAAAATTGATGAAGGGAGCTGTTATAGCTCAAAATAGCTCATGTGACTTCAGAGCTTGTGGGCTTAACAAGAGGGAACCTGTAAACCTTCTCCCACTTCACCAGATGAGCAGATGCACAAAACTTTGGGAATGTGTTACAGTTGCAGTAAAAACAGCAAGAAGGCCACACCTAGTAGTTCGTCTGGCTCAATCAGTGAGAGACAGTTTGGGGTTCGACATTCGGATTGTTGCATACGACGATGGACCTAATGATTATTCTGAAGAAATTCTTCAACAAATGGCAGAGTATCCTTTATTGCGTTACATAGTGAGCAGCGACGAAGATCTTGGTATTTCACAAGGAAGAAATCTTGCTATTTTGCAGGTCAAAACAAAATATTTTTTCCTTGCAGATGACGATATCAAGTTCAATAGAGACACAAAACTCGATAAATTAGTCGCAATACTGGACACCACTGACGCCACAGTTGCTTCAGCCACGTACAGTGGGAGTACCCACTTTACTGGGTACTTCCAATTTGGGTATTTTAACTCTAAGTCAAAACCAAAACTTGGCTTTTACCATCAAGCTTGCACTTTTGTCAATCAAACAATTCCGGACCACCCAGATTGTGTGAGATGTGAAATAAGTTCCAACGTATTTTTGGCTCGAACGAAGGAGGTATTGGATATAGGGGGCTGGGATCCTGAGCTCATGACAAGAGAACACAAGGATATATTTATTAGACTCAAAGCAGCCGGAATGAAAGTTGTACTGTGTCCTGATGTGAAAGTGACACATGCACGTCCAGGGAAAAAAGCAGTAAAAGGAGTAGGATATAGTGAAAAGAGAAGGCGTGGTAGTGCAAGGTCGAGCTTGCTCGAAGCTAACAGATGGAACATTCACGGCATATTCGAGAAATTTGCAAAGGGCACGTTAAGCCTAAGCAGCACTTCCGGAGAGATAGAATTTAAGGAAGTTAAAGCACGAGAATTTTGTTAGGTGCTGGTTTTGAGGAACTAATTGGAATAATTGTCAAATTAAAAGATTGAATTGCTACTTTATTCTTTTATTATTATATACTAGAAAGCCTGTGGTCACAGGGAGGAAGCTAATAGTATTTTTTGTTAGTAAGTTTAAATCACGCCAAAAAATATCCTAAACAACCGAAGATACAGTCAATTAAAATGTTGCTCATACTAAACACAGCGTAATATCAACAAACCCGATCAAAATGTCACTCCCAAATCTTTGCAAGTTCATATTTTTCGTCTGATTTGCACGTGGGCGGTCATACAGACAGACAGACATTCTACATACAGAAATAGTTCTTTGAATTACAGTATTGATACTACAATCAAATAGTTGAGTGATACTTCAGAAACAAAATCAGATACAGAATTTTCAATAGAAATGGAGATATTCTGAATAATCCAACCTAATTTTTGTAAATTGATAGCTGTTTTACTAAAACAGTGTGTTAGTACGGCCTTCATTTGAGAAATTTGTGCACCAAATGCTCAATCCCAGTTTTGAACTCTCATTATGGTGGTAAGAATTAGCATACAATGTTCCCCATCTTGGTATGAAACGTCAAGCTGAGCCGTGAAAGAAGGGCTGTGTGCATTTCAAAGAAATCCACAATTAGAGAGGGTTCCTTAGTATAGTATAGAGCTTGAATTTATAGCCAAAAACCCAAACATGACCTGAATGCAAAAATTGGCAATAACAACATTGCAGCCTTAATAATAAATAAAGAGAATTTATCAATTAACACAACGCGCAAGACCATATAGCTACACCGAAACTATCAAAAAGAACAACAAAAACCAAGCTCAAGTGCACAATTCTAGAGAAGCGCTATGTTATTTTCAGCAATGTAAAATTGTAGCAAACTCCAAATTCTCAACGGACACACTTGACACTTAAAAATATAATTCAGTTCAACTCAATGAATAATAATGAAAATATGGAGTAGAAATCAAATTACCATTTAAAAATTAGTATGAAACCGATGTTCTTGGCTTCATTAAGCGTACTAAATCACTCTACACTCGATCGCGATCTTCTAAATTTTTCTGAAAGGGCCCCTGACAGTTGAAACCTACATGGATCGCTGTACGTATTTTCGGACGCTGATTCCTAATTAAAAAAATAAAAATGCTCCCCTGGTAAGATATTGGCGAAAAAACTGTCTCGATCACGTGATATGACCATATATTTAAGGAAGTTAGTTCCAATTCTCGTCAGGGTTAGGGTTTCAGACATAAACCTTGTGTTTCGGTGTTCACTTAAACGGTACTTGGCGGCTGAACTGTGGTGTCTGACGTTTGCAGCTAGATCGGACTCTGATATTAATACTTTCAACACTACTATATAACAAATAATTTGAGGATGTACCATGAATGCACAATGACCATGAATCTCTAAACTCGTTGGCAGTGGGGTAGCCTGTGTGGAACCTGCAGGGGTGGTGGAACAGAAGACTTGCTGATGGCCCTGCTTGAGAGTTGAGTACTTGTTGTGCTGTTGTTATGTAAACACACTTCACTCATCCTCACAGTCATCACAGTCACCACACCTGGAGGGCTCACAGCATAGTGTATTCATGGTGCTCCCTCCGGCCATCATTAAAATAGTAGTGTTGAAAGTATGCAAATTGTATCTACTATCTTATCTGTCTTATTGAAATATACCCAGATTTGATATTGACTAATTAACACTCTTTCAGCTTTGATATTTGGGCTTCCCAGCCCTCACCTTCCACAACATCCTCCATACCATCCCTCACATCATCAACCCTATCATCTCACTCTCATATCAATCCTGTCTATGTTGGTCTGTCAGTGTGCCAGTCTATAGATTCTTATTATGATTATTTCTATATAGCTATGATATTTCACATCCTTCACGTTGCTCATTATTATACTCTATACTACTCTTCTCTCTCCCAGGTCCTGAGGCCTGTCTGACGGGACACCACCCCGAACGGTCCACCGGCTGCCCCCGCCTCTTCTCATAATCATGGTACACGATAGATCTCTACGGAATGCTCGTCCTCACAAGGCTCCACCCAACGATCCGAATAACAGCCTCTATGACTCACCTCAATCTAGAGTTTCCCTCTTCAAGGAGCAACTGAAGAGTAACACCGAATCTCCTACTGTCATACCAGAAAGCCCCATTGATGTTACTGGAGACAAATTCTTTGATGCAGAGTGCCTTGTCCCCAAAACCCCATCAAACCAGGGTACTCCTAGTGCAAGTGCCAAGAGCACACCTTCTCAAAACAAGAGAACTCCTACCCAAAACAAAAAGAAGTGTCCATGCAAGAAGAGTGACAAAAACTCAACCTACATCACCTGCAACAAGTGTCAACAGCAATGGCATAATAGGTGCAGTAATCTACTCGGCCTTTCACCATCAGATATTAAGAAAATGGAACTGTGGGAGTGCCCAAGCTGTTATGTCTGTCCCGCACTTAGTAAGGTACCTTCATCCCTCTACGCTGACATCCGTTCAACTAAGGAGGTTGTCACCGCATTATGTCTTAGTGAACGCTCTTCAAACCAGGGGTTGGTTAATGATGATGTCACAGAGAAACTGAACATGCTACAGCAAGAGATAAAAGGCCTCCGTGAGTCTGCCTTCCAGAGAGTTGACCAGCCACACCCAGAGAGCACGACCCTGTTGACAGCTGAAGCTGTCACTAGCATCCAAAACAGCCTATTACACCTGACTGAACAAGTCACATCCATGAAGTCGTCGCTTGGCAACAGAAGCAGCAGCAGCCCTCGGCCTCCACCAAACAGGATGCCACAGCCTAACCATGGTCCTGGTCCCACATCCCCTCCCCTACCTAATACTGTCTCTCCACACACAAAGAAACATGTGACACCGTGCAAGCCCTATGGAATGTATGACCCTCTAGCCCTTACACCAGAACTTAAGGAGGAAGTCCAAGCGTTCATCAGTGGTAATACTCCAGTGGTAATATATATATAACTGTAGCGAATTTACTAGTGTTGGTGAGAACTCTCGTGAAGTAATGTACTTTGGTGACTTCTCGTATAGGTACACTGGCACTGAGCACCCAGCAAGAGAAATGCCGCACGTGCTGAAGAAGCTTATTGACACAATTGTTCCTAAAATACCTTCTCCAGTGAATGATAGGAATATCAAGATTAACTCGTGTCTCATTAGTAAGTATAGCTCTGGTACTAACCACATTCCAATGCACAGAGATGATGAGCCTGTGATTGATCCCGAATCTCACATCCTTACGATCTCACTAGGAGCTGCCCGTACCATGTCCTTCTGCAATAATGATGACAGCCAATCAGAAGATCTCCCCCTTCAGGACAACAGCTTGTTAGTCACAACGAGATATGCGCAGGACTTTTGGAAACACGGGATCCTCCCAGACGAGAATGTCTCCACAGAGAGAGTGAGCCTGACCTTTAGACACATTTCTCCTCACTTCATCAATTCGACCATCATTCTGGGTGATTCAAACACCTCCAGGATGACATTTGGTGACTCAGTAGGTACCTTTGGTCGTTGGGTCCCTGGGAAGCGTGTTTTGGTAGGTCACATGGAGGCTCTCCCTGATGCAATTGAGATTGGCCCTTACCGTAATATTGTCATCCATACTGGAATCAACAGTATTAACTCCCGGTCTCATCCACGATCAGAAGCCTACCTCCTCCATGTCCTCGAATCCAAGTGCAGAGACATTACTGAAACCTACCCCAAATCCAAAATCCACTTGTCAATGTTACTTCCAACTAGACTAAACTCTCTAAATAGAAAAGTTGAAAGCTTTAATCGGGGCATCCTCGATGTGTCTTATCAGCAAAGAAACATTTTTATTATTGATAACTCTATTTTTGGTCGCCAGCTCTCTGATGAGTATGGCAGATGGGATATTGCTGCAAATGGCCCTCTTACCTCAGATATTGTCCACCTTGGTAAAAGTGGTATCCGTAAATTTGCTGCGAATATTAAGGAATCTGTAGCTGGCAGAAGGAGTAGCCAGTCTAGAGCACGTTTTAACACCAGTCAGGGGAACTTCGGCGGAGCGGTAGAGGGTGGTAGGCGCCCACCATAATTATGATGATCAAACAACCACAAATTACTAAGAATGTTTGCAAGGGATGCAATAAATTTATCTCAACACACCACAAAATTTTAAACTGTAGCTCCTGTGGAACAGTTACTCACTCTAAATGTGCCAAAAATCTCTTCCAATACAGCCACACCAATGATAGCTGGCAATGCTACATCTGCATCGCCAGCTTACCACAACGGTACTGCCCATTTGCTTCTGCACTTATACGTGACAAACATGACCCAGTCCACCTTGATGAAATTGAAGATGTTTCTGAAATCAATGAAATCCATAAAAGCTGTAAAAATTATGATCATAAAAGCTTTAAGAACCTCATAAAGCTGTATCATAGAAATGGGCAGAACCTTACTGGTATTTTTAACAATATTGATGGAAATGCTGCAAATTTTGATACATTTGTCACAGAAATCTCACAGTACAGTCATCCACTCTCGTTTATTGGCTTGGCTGAGACAAATATTGATGCAAACCTCAAAGACTTGTATAGGATACCCGGTTATCTCTCTGAATACACCAATAAATTACGTGACAAATCTAAAGGTAGTGGAGTGGGAATTTACATCAATGAGTCACTTACTTACACCCGTATTGACAAACTATGTATGTGTACCCCTAACCTTGAATCTGTGTTTGTCTCCATAACAAATGTTGGCAGGCCCCAAACAGTTGGCGTCCTATACAGACCACCTGGTGGATCTGACAAAGATGCCCTACACGAATTTGAGAGCCTTCTTAATCAGGTTCCTGATAGGAACGTTATCCTGCTTGGAGATTTCAACTTTAATCTATTTAATAAAGGCTCTGCCAGCTTTGAAAACATTTTATATGGAAATAACTTCATCCCGCTTATATCACTGGCAACGCACCATAAACCAGGCTGTGTCCCATCGCTTATTGACAATATTCTGACAAACTCCACTGACAATATTGTGTCAGCTGGACTACTGGATACCAGGGTTTCGCATCACTCTCCAATTTTCTGTATTCTCGAATGTAGCATGCCTGAAGAACCAGAACTTGACCCTTGTAAACCAAAATACGACTACTGTGAATCTAATATGACCAAGTTCTTAGAAGATATTCAAACAAATTTTTGTGGGCAGGTGTGCTACAACGTAGAAAACTTTGAAATTTTTGCAAATAAGATAAAACTTTTGATCGAAGAAAACTTTTTAATTGAATCTGAATCGTTCAAAAAGTCAAAAAGAAATATGATTGCAAACCCTTGGATCACACCAGGGATCATTGCATCAGTGAAAAAGAAAGAATATCTTTACAAGCAGTGGAAGAGTACAATTAAGGAACCCAACCCTCTTGGAGACTCTGATCTATACTTAACCTATAGTAAATTCCGTCGACAGTTAAAATACATTATCAGATCTGCCAAGAAATTGTACTATTGCAGAAAATTCTCAAAAGTCTCAGGTAATATGAAGCAAACATGGGCACTGATCAATGAACTGAGGGGAAAAACAAAAACTGGAATAAAGGCCTCGTTCAAAATAGATGGTAGTTTAGTAAAAGACAAGCGTGTCATATCGAATGGCTTTAACATGTTCTTCTCTTCCATTGCAGGTAAACTTAATGCGAAGCTCTGCTCCTCCAAACCAATAAGTCGTGACACAGCTTGCCAGAGGCCCCTTAATTATAAGAACTACTTTAACAAAAGAGTTACCAACAGTATGTTCTTAAACCCCTGTGATACTGAGGAAATCGAAAAAATTGTTAAAACCTTCCAGGGTGACAAGGCTAGTGACATATCAATAGCTGTTCTTAAGAAATGTTGCACTACAATCTCTAAGCACCTAGCTGGTTTCCTAAACTCATTCATGAAGCTGGGTCTATTTCCAAATATTCTCAAAATAGGTAAGGTCACCCCCGTATTTAAGAAAGGAGACCCACAGCTGTTTGATAACTACAGGCCTATATCCATTCTACCTATCTTTGGTAAGATATTTGAAAAAGTAATTTACTGCCGACTATATAGCTTCTTTACTTCACATATGGTCATATACGATAAACAGTTTGGATTCAGATCCAACCACTCAACGGCACATGCCATCAATTACTCCATTGACCACATTCTTAAAAACCTAGAAAGTAAGAATCATGTAATTGGCATATTCATTGACTTAAGCAAAGCGTTTGACACAATCGACCACAGAAAATTACTTGTCAAACTTGAACACTATGGCATAAGAGGGCCCTGTCTTGACCTAATTGAAAGCTATTTGTGTAACCGACAGCAGTATGTTGATTT